GAGCGGAACTATCCAGTGCATGACAAGGAACTCCTTGCCATGAAGTATGCACTCGCGAAGTTCAGAGTCTATCTATTAGGAGATAGACCCTTCATTGTTTACACTGACCATGCGTCATTACGCACGGCAGTGAACAGCCTGCACCTTTCACAACGAATGGCGCAGTGGTTGTCATTCTTTGCAGAATACAACTTTACGGTAGAGTACAAACCAGGACGACTTAATGTCGTCGCTGATGCACTCTCACGTCGTCCCGACTTTGAACCAGTCGTGAAACCCAACAGTGAGACAGTCACTGTTGCGGTTATGACGTCCTCAGTCCCATCTACAACGTTGCATGATGATGTGAGGCGGGCATATGCCCAAGATGGTGAGATAGTGAAGTTGTTGGCACATCTCTCACAGCCATCTCGAGAATCGTTGAAACGATTTTCGTCTGCGTATCGATCTGCATCAGATCGATACACTACTCACAACGGTTTACTGTATTATACAGCCGTTTCTGGTGACACACCACGTGTTGTCATCCCAGATGATACTGATCTGCGTTTGCGGATCATGTTCGAGTATCACGATGCTCCTATAGGAGGACATCGTGGCCGGGAGAAAACATATCTCACGGTGAGTCGAGACTTTTACTGGCCCCGCCAGTATCAGTTTGTGCGAAAGTACATTCGCGCATGCGAAGTCTGTCAACGAGTGAAGTCAAGTCCTTTACTGCGTGCATTTTTACAGCCTCTACCAGTTCCGGCAGAGCGCTAAGAATCCATCTCAATGGATTTTATCTTCGGGTTACCCAAAGACGCACGCGGGAATACGGGTATTCTCGTATTTGTTGACAGATTCAGCAAAATGGTACACCTTGTGGCTGTACCAGAGTCAATCACGGCAAGTGGCTGTGCTTGTGTCTTTATCGGCACCATCTTCCGACTTCATGGGTTGCCCCGTGAACTTGTATCAGACAGAGATCCACGCTTCACTGCTGATCTCTGGCGTTCCGTGTTCAAATCACTCGTAACGCGCTTAAAGATGTCGACATCTGATCATCCAGAGTCAGATGGTCAGACGGAACGTGCCAATCGTGTCCTCGAAGATATACTTCGAGGATACGTACACTCCTTTAAGAGTTGGAGTGAGTTCTTGCCCATGGTAGAGTTTGCCATTATCAACTCGGTGCATGCGTCCACGACACATACACCGTTTTACGTGAACGGCTTACGCCATCCGCGTGTACCCACCTTACTAGAGTGCAACTCTGGTTCAAGGGGGGGAGGGACTCGCGTGAGCAAAAACCGATTTGGTTCACGCTCATCACGCTCTGACGAAGAAGTCATTGCGTTTGATTGCCGATATCGATAACATCGATATCGAAGAAGATGATGCCAGTGAGAGCGAGGAAGCCCTCACTGAAGAAAAGATTGATGTTGCTGCAGTGCACTCACAGCGTACTGAAGCTAACGAGTCATCAAATGAGTTCATACTGGCTCGTGAAACGGTAGTCCGTTTTGTGCAAGACTCCATCGCCGAAGCGGTGGATAAGCAAAAGCAAAACGCTGACAAGAATGGAAGGGCAAACACTCTTTTATTTAATAAAGGTGATTTATTCCTACTGTCTACGGTTAATCTACCAAAGCATGTAGTGAATAACGTGGGTAGCAGTAAACTACTACCCAAGTACATCGGCCCATTTCGTGTATTGCACCGCCTAGGCAATGCATACACGATCGAGTTACCACGTAAGATGCGAACGCATCCCACGTTTTACGTTGGTCGGCTTAAGCCGTACCATCAGTACACTGCTTCTTCCGATGAAGAACGCCCTTGCGCTCAAGCATCTCGCAGAGAGCCTTGTGCTCCCGATGGTGGGCATCAACAAGGGTCTTAAGAGCAGTTATCTCAGCCCGAGACCGATCAACATTCCCACGAGCTACCCTTAGCTCGTCACGCAGAGACGTCAGAGCTCTCTCGTTCTCAAGCTGAGCAAAGGCAAACTCAGCTCGATGCTTCGAGACAGTGTCCGCCAGTTGGAGACGCCTGTCCCTCTCATGTTCGAGATCGCCGCGTAACCCTTGCGTTACGCGATCAAAGAAGCTCTCGGGAACACACGCTTCCCCACGATTGTGTGGAGAGCGTCTTTCCTCCTTCTCCACCTCCATTAGATGACTCTCGCGGTGGACAGCGCTATCTGGTTCATCAGCTGTTGAACCACCGCGATGTGAACGGACGTCGGACGAGTTATCTCGTCCGGTGGCGCGGCTATCCCCCGTCCTGGGATACTTGGGAACCCCGCTCCCAACTGATGATCGACGTACTGGGTCTGGTTGAGCAGTACGACGCGGCACATCCTGTACCGCAGAAGGACCGCCGGAGAAAGTCTTCCCGGCACGGTCGTAAAGGGATTTCAGGTTGTCAATCCCTTCGTACATCTCACTAGAGATACGTACGTGCCACCACGGGCTATTAGGGAGGTAAGCCTCCTTAGGTGCGCGCGCAGAGTTGTTTACACAACAAAGGCACGGGTCTCTCCATAAAAGACAGGGCAATCCTTTCTCCCTTGACAGACGATGCAGCTTATAGCGTGCACCTGTCGGGGTTTTCTTCTCAAACTTATCACGAGCTTTGATACGTTTGTCGTTCCAAGCGTCACGACCTACATCCTCAAGATTATGGATGTAAGCGTTCCACGCTTGAAGCAGTGAGGTACATCACGTTTGTGATTCTCACTGTACTATCGATGCTTAAAGAAATGATCGATGAAGAATTCATGTTCAGCGCGATAGTTTTTCGCGCTGAAGTCAAGGTGATGGATCCGTGACGAATCGAACAATCGTACTCGATAGCGATAACTCGTCGTCGCCGACAAATGATCCATGACGAATTTTGGAGGCAGCCATGCCTTCTTTTCGGTAGCGAGACGCAACACGTTGCGATCCCGCTCTTCTTGCGACGTGCCGACAGAAGTACTGGTACCTCGCTGTAAAGTGGTGTCCATAGGAGAACCGACACCACTGTTAGCGCCCGAGTCTTGTGACTTCGAGCGCCTTCGCTTCGGCGATGGTTCATCGGATTCATCAGATGAACCAAAGATGCTACGACGCATAGCATCATCCATGCCACGCTTGGCAGGCGGCTTTGATTCAATCGCCGTCGATACGGATCCGTCTTCCGTATCAGGAGAGTATGAGACTCCGAGCTCATACTCTGTGAAGACACGAGTGTCTTCATGACGAGCGCCTGCATCACCAGGTGACACAGGCTGAGTCGCTTCAGCAACCGATGAGACATCAGTTGCTGTTGTTTCCTCTTCGGCGTCTGCTCAGAGACGTGCAGACGCGCTCTTAGCGGCCTTGTTCGAGCACCGCATGGACTTGTTAACCATGCGATGAAACTGTTGAAATGTGGACTCGGACCAACAAGTGCAAACCCTGTCCTAAATGATTTGGGACGAGTATCCATTTAGTCAATCAGTCACTAAAGTGACTGATGGTTAAGGGGGGCGATGTAACGGGGTGAATCGTTACATAACAATTTATAAGAAATTGTTAATAGAATATAACTGTAAGAGTTGTATTCTCAGAAGATTGTCATAAGGATAAATATTCTGTAGCACTTACGAGTAGTTCCTGATTGGTTGATATAGGCCATTATATCAACCAACGAAGACGCGCCACGACAGACGCACGCAATGAGTGGTGAGCTGATAGTTGATTTACACATTTGTATTCAGACATAGTTAGATGAAGATAAATAGTGGATTATTGCAGACATTAACTATGATAAATACAGTTCTACTTTTTACTTTAACCAAGTACTCGCTTCTCCTTACCGTCTTCCTCTGCACGTACGAGTGTACGTGAAGTTCTGAGGCACCGCCTTATTCTGTTATCAGTACAAGCTTCAGGGTGCCCCGTTACAGTAGTTCTGGTGGAGCCACGCTGACACGACGCGATGTCTAGCAGGAGAAGCACTTACCTTCCGCACATCTTGGCATCGAAATGCCGGATCCACTCAGCAAACGTTGACCTGTTTGCCACGCAGTCTGGTTGTTTAAGTTCAAAAACTGATTTGCTTGGTGTTGGTTTTGCGAAACGCTCATGGTAGCATGGGCTTGCCTATGACAACAAGATCTATCTTTTCGGTGCCGGTCACGTTGCAGCACATTGCGACTGTGATACCATCCTTCTATGACTTCTTTCCGGAGCGCTTGACCGTTGCCAGTGTCTTGTTTGGAGATAAACGGTAGAATAGAGCTGATTCGTCAAAATTAAAAACAGCTCGTGGTGAACATTGTCCAATCAGCTCTATAAGCTCCATTCGATTCACATCTAGTTAAGCGCAATCAACTGAGTTTACCTCGCCACGAAGCACATGCTGATGGATGCCGTGTCAAGTCTTAAGGTTCTGGATACACCTATTTGTAAGCCGCAGTTTGTTCCTGCTTACTCTTTAAGCGGCTCATATTGAGTGACCTTTTTCGAGTAGTTGGTCGTCTTTGTAAGAATCGCTTTGCCGTCATTGAGACGATAGAATGCGACAGCCTCAAACGTTGGAAACAGCAAAATTCAACTACACTTCATGCCTGTGGCAACGAAACTGTTGGCTGGTGCCTGACGAATCCGTTCTGCTGCCGTTGTGGAGACTTAAAGGCCGAGCTTCTCTCTGACCCAGTCTTGCATTTAAGCCAGTTTTATGCCTGGTGTGCGTGTGATGTACACGCGCACCTGACACTTTTGCTCCATCGTATGAATCGTCCGCTTTGTCGACATGTTCGAAGGTGGAACGGAAGCAAATGGGCAAAATGGCAGGCAATACGAGACTGTATCAAGTCCGATAAAGAGCGGAAAAATTGAATGCTTGGTGCGCGCTATTTTAGTCCTCTATTTCTCAAGTCTCTTGTAACAAAGGCACCATACAACAACCAAGTGACGCGGCTTTAAGGGACGACTGGACCATGCCAACGGTGTTTCGTCCAATCATCGACCAGCCTCTATCGCACAACCATGCTGTCGCACCTGAAGGAGCTCCAGGCGGAGAAGAAGAGCTATGACCACGTCGACAGCGCCGTCGACATGAGTCCAGGTGGGTACATTAAAACGCCTAGCAGTTTGAATGACGTGGAAGGTGGTCGGACAGCGCAAGAGCAGGAGCAGGAGGCGCAAGAGAAGGAGCAGCACCAAGCGCAGCGGCCGTCACATGACCCCGTTCAGCTCTGCGATAATCGGGACGTCCGAACTGCCAGAGACAAGCGCGAGATCGACAAATTGGCTCGGGACTCGCAGTTTCGCGTGAATGGGATTGTCGTGGACCACGAAGTCAAGGGCGGGGCCAGGAACGGATGGGAAAGTGTGTACGAGATCATGTACAAGAGCTCGACGTCCACGGGTCAACGGGTGGCGCTCGTGCTGCTTGTGATGGTGTCAATGAGTGTTGCAGTTGGTGGGTGCATGCTGCAAAAGTGACGGAGATATAGAGGGATGCTGATGAATGTGTGTGTCTTTTCGTTGGTGGTGGTGGTGGTGGTGGTGGTGCTTGATATGGTCAATGAGTAGCTGTGCTGGACAGCGTGGATGATATTCGGTGGGTTGCTACTGTGCTGCAATGAAAAGTCGTGTGTGAGAGGGCTGAATCGTTGTTGGCGTTGATGTAGAGATGGCATTGGTGACGTTTTACTGGCTCTCGAAGCGTTTTTTACGGTGGTGTTTTCAGTGGAATATTTCTTGCGAACGGCATCGCTGCGCCATCCAGGGAGGTTTATGCTCAGTATGATGGGGTTTATTGACGTGTGTGCACTCGTGCCGTCGTATCTGGCCTTCATTCTCCCGGATGCCAGACCGTTGCTGCACTTGGCAGTATTGCGGATATTTCGGGTGATGCGCGTGTTTCGGTTGCTGCGACTTGCACGATTTGTGGATGCCGGTGCTGCGTTGAGTGACAATATCCAGTCAAACAAGAGACGCATTGCGGTATTCCTCGTGGCGCTGTTTACGATGATTATTGTTATCGGGTGCGCCATGTATCTCATTGAAGGCGACCGGCACGATTTTTCCAACATCCCCATCAGTCTCTACTGGACGGTGGTGACCATGACTACAGTGGGATACGGAGATATTTCTCCCGAGACCATTTTAGGCCGCATGTTGGCAACTGTGGTCATGTTCGTGGGCTACGGTATGATTGCCTGTCCGCTAGTGCTCAATCAGACTGGATCGCAGGACATTTTGACGGAAGTAGTCGAGTGTCCGCGTTGCTTTCGACGATTGCACCAAGACGATGCAAATTTTTGCCGTGTGTGTGGGACGGCACTTCGCCAGCCTCGCGCAAAGAGTATAAAGGCTCGACGTGATCGCCGTCTCCGCCTCGCAAAGCTTCGGTTACCGATCCCCGACGGTGACCTTTCGTTCTCGACCTCTTCTACCATGAGATCGAACGCTTTGCTGCTTTCGGGAGACTTGGACTCGACGCGGACAATTGACCAGGGCGAGTGCTAGGCCCATGCCATGAGATTAGTCAGTTAGCCAATGGTTGTCTGCAACTGGTCGGCAGCTTAACAATTGTGAACGTTCAGGATTTCACGCACGAAGGAGACGGCACGCATGATAGATCGATGGACACTCAGTGGATGCATCTTTGGCAACAAGGCAAACAACAAGAGACTACTACAAAACCATCACCGTTTCAGAAAAGGAGGCTCATTTGTAATAATAAAAAAGACTCCCAACGTCCTCGCTGTTGTACTCGCGGAGGCTAGTAAAATAAGTTATGACCACACAGCGGTGCAGAGCATCTCGGAGCAAGCCGGTACCGTCAGTCACACGGGCGGAGCGAACGAGCCTGGGACAGCCGTGCGGTAAAATCGTCGTTTCGTTGGACGTCTCGTGGCACAAGACGATCGATCGGTATCAAAGCTTCTACAGCCCCCGTAGATCATCACGGCACTGTTGCAGTCTCGATAAAAGCACTCATCACTGCTGTAGCGTGCGTCACAACTCGACAAAGTCGAACGGCTCGAAACCCTCTGAAGCATTTCCTCGAGTCTCGCCAACTCGGTCTGTGTAGCCCCAACTGGCACCGTCTCTCTCCAGCCATAGCGATTCCACAGCTTAATGTGTTTCACCCAGAGGTTCTTGGTCTCTTCATCAGTAGCAGTGAGAATGAGCGAGTCGTGTAAGAAGCTGCTCGAGCCACCGTCTGGCTCAATGTGCACCTTGTAAGTGTTCACTTGGAACGAGCAAGCGAGGGACGGCTCCCTCAAGTCCTCGTCCTGCTCGAGCACTTCCACCAAATAGCCACTGAGCTGCAGCAGCCGCTGCCGTTTCAATGGCTCGTCGAACCCCTTTCGCTCGTCCTCGGCGTGACCGTCCACTTGCTTGTACTTCCCGTCCACAAACTTGAGGGCATAAGCGCTTGGCACTTCCATTCGGGTCATCAACCGCGGCTCGAGCGGTGGCAGCGACGGCTCCGGCGTCTCGATGCGACACTCGACGAGGGAGCACACGAGGACGCCCGTGACGACCTCGACGAAAGCAGGGTACGTGTTGTCTAGCACCAAGTACCCGGCACAGGTCATCGGGTCAATTGGTTTCGAGCGAGTAAATTGAGAAATGACGAGAGTCGGCAAAGCATCTGCTGTTGACGACGTAGCGAAACTTCGATAGACGGCGTAGAAAAAGGGGGTATTAAGTACACGACCAGAAGGGAAAAGAGATTGAGATTGAGAGGGAGGAGGATTGAGGAACGGGTACTTTGGGGGATGAATTAAAGGCCAAAGGATAGGAATTAAAAAAAAAGGGGAAATGAAAATAGCTTCATCAGCTGCAGCAGCCCGGGTGCTCATCATCATCGACTTTAGCAGTTGTAACGGGACATTCGCCATTGTTTAGTACCGGAGCTCATGAACGTCATCGGTCGGTTGTGGCTGCTGGTCAACGTAGTAATCAGTGCGACATGTGGTAAAGCTGGGAAAGTGAGAGAGAGCACTTGGGATCGACCAGTTACTGGGCGATAAAAAACTGACCGTCAGTTGTGCACTGGTAGTTTGTATGGAGGTTTATCAGAAGACGAGAGTCAGGTTTACTGCTATGATGAACCTACTTAGTTGCGAAAAATCCAGTTCGATAGTGTGGAGGGTCTCACTTATGGTACTACTGCAAGGCGGTGGAAGCACTCGCATGTTGAGATTGAGTTCCACTGTTGTATCGAGTGGGCTACTCTTTGTGTACCGTGGGCTTTCTTACACATTCGTTGAAGTGTGAAACAAACACGACCATCGTCTGAAAACTGGTACCGCCGAAGATCGTGTTGAGCGCTTTGAATGCTTGCCACGTGTTCATGTGACTTGATTGCATACACTTTGAAGCTTCTCGACTGATGGCACTGCTATTCGTTCGTGCTTCCATGATAGCTATGCAGATGGAGAATCGAGTTTAAGATTGACGTGCTAGTATCAGGGTCAGGCAACGCCGTGGCAGTTGATGCAGCTGACGTGTTTAAAAGCTACCGGGTGTTTGACAGAAATAACTGATTAAATCGAGGCGTGCATTATTGAATTGACCGGCTTCGCGGCAATTACAGTGCCTTTGTTTTCCACACTTTTAACTATGAGACACGTGAGATGAAAAAAGCAAATAGTGATGCGTTGTACTAGCTGCATCCACAAAATTGAATTGCGCTCGGGCCTTTGGCAAGGGGTCGGTCAGTAATTGGACGATTAAAATGTTTCGGGTGACGCATCGGCCTTGTATTACTACTACCACACAGTTTGGGGAGAGTGCTCCGTTCATGCGCTGTTACGAAGGTGGCTTACAAAATCATACTCGTACGACTCCTTTCACAATCATACTCAACACTTTTTCATTCGTGGCTTCCCACTTTGACGTTTCTTGCTAAAAGCTTGTTTTCGTAGGTCTTCGATGCGGCTCGACAAGTTTTAAATCCAATCCGGTGGTAGCACCCTCCGTACCGCAACACGAAACTGCCATCTGAAATACGTCAGGGGCACCTTATAACCATCAGGAGTTTGTAACACATCGTGTTCATACAAACATACCATCCACTAAGATCAGTGAGACTTCATTAACTTGTGGCAACTGCATTTTTCTTGAGTCCGTATTCATTTCGTAGTACTTTAGACTTTTTCTCGGCGGTAGCCAGCCATGTGTGGTGCTCGTAAGTAAAGGTACAAAAGATATAGAGAGAGCGGCATTGGCGTCTTGATCTCGCACTACTAGTAGCTATTCGTCGAGTAAAGCGTGCTTAGACGCGTTCTACTTGTTTAAATTTCGCGACGCAAGGTGTGGTCTTGCTTGTCAGAGCGCTACTTGTTGTTCTTGTTGCGGAAGGCATATGAGCTCATAACATGTCGGATTGGTCTGGACTGATCCATTGTAGAGGAATCTTCGTTGATGAAGTTTGACCGGACTAGCGTGCTGGTATATAAGATCCCGCATACTAACTGTTGCACGAAAGCATACTTCGTCCTGTGCATGTTGTAACGGGCCGAGATGATGCAGACCCAAATGGATGGACAAAGCCCTGCTAAATCTACCCCACACACTTACCAATTCCCAAGCCCGTTGACAGTCGAATAGGCTGCGGTATCAATGCATCTCCTGAGGAATTGAATGTGTCGTTACGCGGACTTCAGGTGCTACATAGGCTTGACCTGTAAGTACTCGGACATTAAAAAGGTGCATACATGCTTTTGTTGCTTTATAAATCACGTTATCTCACATCACCCATTGCTTGACCTTCACATTACACATAAAGCAAAGTCGAGCAATCTCTGCGGTTCATTGATTTCTACGCTGTAATTTAGGCTAGAACAGCTAATAAATGATCATATACGCCATGCCTCAAAGTCCAGGCGCGCTTAGTGTACACGTTCCAAATACGACATTTCCCCGTCGTGATATGTACAGCGGCCTCACCACTGTTATATAGCTGCTTAACGCGTGGGGCACTGCTGCAGCATCACGTTCTGTAGCGCCACCAGCAATTGCGCGGCCGTGGGTCGGCACCTTGGGTCGGGCTGAAGGCATCCTTGTATAATCCACCTCGACAGATCGGAGACTGGCCGAGCGTACTGTATCGCTCCAGTGTACCGACTCATCATTGACTTGAACTCCGCAGGGGTTAGCTTGACTGGACAGATCGGGTGTTTCCCAGTAATCATCATGCAATAGACGATACCTACCATCCACATATCCGCTTTTTCAGCCGTGGCTTCGCAATCGCCTCGTTTCGGACGAAAACACTCGGGCGGGAGGTACCGTAGAGTGCCAACTGTAGAATTTGACGTAGTAGATTTGGCATCGCGGGCTAAGTCGAAGTCAGTCAGTTTCACACACCCGTCCTGATCGATCAAAATGTTCGATGGCTTCAGGTCGTAGTGAGCGATGCCCATCTAGTCCAATACATTAAAGGAGGCTGTCAGTCCCATGTGCATTTCCACAAACAAGTCGACACAATACGTTCAACTTACATCCTCGTGCAGGTACCTCTGGGCACTCAAAAGCTGAGAAAGCACCTTGTATGCCGAATCGTCGTCGAAGAATTCATGTATCTGTACAGAGATTGTCATTGACCTTCACAGTCGAACAAGACCTACAACAGCAAGTTTGATAAACGCACTTCACTTACCTCAATAAGCTGCTGCAAGTCGGAATGGACACTAGCTACAGTGAACGCTGTGTATTGCTGCTGTTGGTAGCGAATGAGCAGTGGCACTTCGCCGACTTGAACAATATTCGGGTGCTTGAGTCTCTGTAACTCATCGACAAATCATCAGTCAGTAAATCAAGCACGTGATCTTGAAGAGCTTCGTACCGAATGCACGTGGTGCTCGCGTTTGGCGTGGCAAATGGAAGTCGATAGCTTGAGCGCGCAGAGCTTCTTGTTGTCGGCAAAATCCACCACGTCCCACACTTCCCCATGTCCACCCTTTCCTCGCAGACGAAGTGGCAAAAATCGATTGCCTAGGATCGGAAACTTACAGAATGGGGACATCTTTTCCAGACGTGTCAGCGTCAACGCCTGTCTGTGCCGCATTTCGTCGTGCTGGTTCAGACATCACATCAGTACAACAGACGCTCGGTCATTGCATCGACAACTTTGTACGTAAACGTCAGTCTTACATAAAACTGACGGACTTCCTCGTCAACGCGATTGCGCCGCTCCTCCACCCACGCAGCGTTTGCTTTTCCCACGGCATCACGAACCGCATTGTCGTGAAACTTCTTTTCGGCCGTAATCCGTTCCCGTCTGACACCGTGAACGAAAACCACTCGTCTACACCATACCAGAAAACAGAAAGCACCAATCCAATCGATATCGTCACACAACGCAGCGCACCAGCATTTCGCAGAAGCGTTCCTTTCTCTCATAACAGCACGTACGTATCTTGCTCTGCCAGTTGTCCCCACTCGTCGCACTTTTGCTCGAGCTGAGAGTATCGCTGAAACACTTGCTGATGGATAGTCCAGCGAAGTTCCTGCACGGCACAAAAACAACAACAAGCAGACAAAACGCACACACACATGTAATCAATACAGTCGAGTCCAATCTACAGCAACCAAATCAACTTCGCTACGCACCTCCATCTCATCTTCCTCCACCTCCGTCGCATTGTACCGGTACACGACGCCCACGGCCGTTGTGCCCGGTAGACGCGTGTTCGGCTTCATTCTGATCACAGACCTCGTGCTGGCGTCGCCGTCGTCCATCGTCGTCACATCGCCGTCTGCTTCCTCTCTCACTGTCGCATCGTCATCCACCGTGTCGTCGTGCACATAGCGGACCGTAGAGGGCGTGCCCACCTTGGCGAGCGACACCTTGGACAGTGGCGCCACATCCGCGATGGACAAAAAGCTTCGTGCAGAGTCGTGGGGCGTTGGATTAAGCACGTCACGGATCGTCTTGATCGTCGCTGCGGCCTCGACGGCCATGACCAACGGGTCGTAGTCCTGCCGCGTATCTTCCGTCGCCGCACAAGCGACAGGCGCGAGAGCGCGCACGAGATTCGGCGAGGGCGACGAGCGCGTAAGCGCCACGTTGGACTCGTCGTCCAGCATGTCGTCGTGGCCTGAAGCTTGTGTCGTGTGGCTGTAGTGGTTCCCAGCAACGAATTGAACCTGTTGATTGGCGCCGCAGAGTGGCTCGAACATGGCAGGAGCGGGCTTGGGAGATGCAGCGGAAGGGGACAGAGCGCGCGTGGCGAGGCTTGCGGGCGGGCAGGCGAGTGCTGGACAGCGGATAGTGTCGTTCCGCTGGTTGCTTTTCGAGTGCGCACTGCTTGACGACAAGGGCAATCAATCAATCAAGTGATCACAGACTGACTGACTAACTGGGCGAGCGGTGGTTGCTTTTTATAGTGCGGAACGGTGAATGTGCAACGCCGCCGGAAAACGGGATCCGCACGAGCAGACGCGGCAGAAGGTTGGTTGCTTTTGATAGTGAGAGAAAGTGTAAGACAAGCTGTCGCCCCGCCGACAGAGTGATGGTCGTCCCTTTGACGGCCAACTTCAAGACAAGGTCTGTTGTAGCCAAGAGAGAAAAGGAAACCTTTGCGAGCACTGGCGTACGTACACCTGTTAAGAATGCGCACTCGCTGGTCACTAGCCTGTCACCATGTGACGGCGACGCCTACGCTGGGTGGATATATTGGTCAAAACAAGCAATTTGCGTCTCGAAAGCGCGTGTAGTTTTTACTACGGCGTTAGGCAGAGACCACCACGTCGGAGATGAGAGCAGCAGTTGCGCCAGTTTCTGACGTATTGGAATGAGCAACAATGTGCTGTTTTCGTACTTAGAATGGGGGAACATTAGTGATGTAGCAACACACGTGCTTGGATGCGGTCTTCCTATGAGCTGGTACGTGCAACAGCGCGTGGTAGTAGAGCACGTGATCTTCATCTGGATCACGCTTGGGCGGTCGTGGGTTGCGCCTCGCGATAGGCGATGCGCGTCTTGTGACATGCGTGTCAACAATGAACCGATACCTTTTTTTGTGGTGTGCGTCCACATCAGTCGTTTCGAGCGTTGACATCGCGTTGACATTCACCAGAGGACTTGGAGTTACACCCAGTCGCACCACGAGATTCTTTATTACCTGGTAGCTCGTCGAGCCATTTGACATCGGTGTGTAGAGCAAAGGAAACGAAATATGATGTATCAATGCACCGTCATCTGCTATTCATATACCCCTTACGGTGCCTAAGTTTCTATTATGAACGGCCAGAGGAAAGCACCGCGAACACCTCCAGGTCAACTTGCTGCTGTCACATAATGTTGCGAAAAATTTACGATTGGTGGGTACCGAGATGAGCCCTCTGACGTTAAAAAGTATGGAAATTCTTGGACTCACGGGTGGCAAGCTGGTCAGTCTGGTTCCTTTTTTCAGATGTTACACATTTCCTATTGGTGCTGACACTATAGAGACTCCAAAGTGGCTCATTGAGTGCGATTGTACTTTGTTGTAAGCAAGAAAATGTACGGGCAGACAGGAAGCACGACCAACAGCGACACTGTGTTGTGTCTACAGCTTCACTAATGGCGAAGGCATTGGCCAAAGTAGTGTCAAACAAAAGGAGGAGCTGGGAAGAATGAGGTTGCCGAGGACTTGCTCGAACCAAAAAGCCATCGTCGTTGAGTCTACAAAAGCATGTCTCCAGTCGACTACGAACGTCAGATAGATCTGTAGCAGTACTTGGTTTTCAGCGGATCGTGCAAGCACAACAGCTTGCACTCGATCGTCTATAAAATGGACTCAATAAAGTTGTAGCCCGATATACGACGTCAACATTAATGAGTACGCCTACAAAATGGAAAATGTAAGCTCCAAAGCTTCTGGACTCGCAAATTTGCCCTTTAGGGGCGGCAGCACGTGCCGTTGCTCGAGGCAGTCGTCGTTCGCCTCTAGGATTCTTTCAGCATCCGCAGCACGATGTCGCTTCCGTCCGTTAAGGCGGTGGTAGCCACACGATCAAATGAACAATAAATCTGACAACGCGACGGGGAGATGAGCGAAGACGTACGCGAATCAGAAGACGACAAGACGGACATTCCAGAATTTGACGACTGCCGCATACAATCTGCGACAGCCTTGCTAGGGCACCACTGGCGGCAGCTTGTTAGGACTGCCGCAGTAGCAACACTTGCACAGATCCGACCCGAAGCCTCCTGCTTCGGCGCCGCCAAGCTCATCTCGTTTGAGCGCTTTGTCATCCACTCCTCCCGCCGGCGCAGAGCTTCGAATTGACCGTGACTGGGCCGCCTGTCACGGCCTGTACGCAGCTGACAAAATACCAGTTGGTTATTTACGTCGAAGAAGTCGGGACCGGCCGCTTGCAGGCATGCATGTCAACAATCCTTTAGCATTCCCTTCACAGTCCATAGCACCTTCTTTATCTTGAGCGCGTTCCTTGAAGAGTGGCTGCGCTTGCCGAATAGTACAAACTACATTACAAATCGAGCACACAAGCTAGTTTTAGGGCACATGAAGCGTTGCTATCCATTCTTTTGCTCATCATCAGGCCCGACCATAAGCAGATTCTAGTTTCTTTCTAACAAGAGCCACCTACTTGTACACGCTTTCCGTTTGATTAAGCTGATTAGGTAAGAGCCAGTACTTCCTGCGGCAACGCCGCGCCTACTGACGATGGAGCCTCAAAACTGCGCACCGATTCCACGTGTACTTCTTTACTTCCTCCGCTATCCTTATATTGTACCGTCTTCAAACTCATTCTCATCCTCGTCCATCGCTTTGTTTTGCCTCCACTGATCCGATAATTTCTTACTGAAACGATAGACTGCGCCAATAGAGCAAGAGGTATCACCATAAGCGGTGATAAAAACATGTATCATCCACGTACCTACCCATGTATCACCTAATATCAAGAGCCTACTGCAGAACTGCATCCATACATGAAAAGTCCAGCGTCTCGTCGAGTTTTACCATCATGCGTCAACATCGCGGGGTTTACACCTTTAATTCAGGAAGTCCAGTCCATTTGGTAAACCAAAGTCCATACAATCAATTATAGATCACGCGCATACCTTTGTCTCTCGACGAAAAAAATTGAAGACAAATTCAAATTTAAGTTGCTCGTAACATTCAAAGTGACCCACAGGAGCGTAGTCGTTTCGTGTCGCTTGAATGCTCACACCTACTACATAGCCTAAAAATTAAGCGCCTCGGTTTCGTTGTCCCGAGATGTTATGTCGTGCTTATGCTGTTTGTCTTTAATTGCACGCAAACAAGCCTTTTTTCCTACTATCATAAATTACCGTACCAACACGAACTCTAATGTGTAGTTTTTACGGAATTGTTTTTACGTAGATATTCACGCAGAAATGATTAGACGAGCAGGATAAATAGGCGCGCCGACTAATTAATATGTGGAAACATACAAATCACGGCGCAGACAGACAAGCTCCGATATTCAATCACTTTCCAATCTTCTATCTACTGCATGAGTGTCTTTTCCGGTATTTCGAGTGGACTTCCCAGCATCCTTCCTAGTTTGGTTTTTAAAGCTTCGCACCTTTCAGCATCTACCAACCCATGGTCGAAAATGCCACCATAAGCGTTGGCAAATTTCACTGCTTAGCGAAATGGATGACATGATTCTAAATTTAGATGATTTGCTCTTCATTGAGTTACTCCTTCACCTTACCCTCTTTGCTTTAACCGTTTCAAGTCGGTTGGTCGCTCACGCTAACTATTTGTATTCACTATGCATGCAGCAAATGATGTCTGGCGCTGATCGCAGCTTCAACTTTTATATTTCTTAAGTTCCAACACTCCTCCTCGAGTGCGCCTTGCATTCCTTTCCTCTTGCCGATGCATAGTCAATTGCGAAACGATGCGAGACTCGTAGCATCGTGAGCCTTTGTCATTGTAACGGGGTAGCCTGTTACATGGTGTTGACACCAAACGGTTTCAATAGGAAGATTTTCTAGCATGACAATATTTTACCAATTTTATCCGAGATAGGTAATATTGAGGAAATATTCTCCTCCTCTAGATAATGTCCATGCGCTGCGCCAAGATTGGTTAGTAAAAGACTTATCAACCATAGATTGCCACCAATCGCTGCTAGACGCTCGCAATGAGTGGTGAGCAGGTTGTCGTCATACGACGACGTAGTTTAATATAGTTAGATAAAGGTTAAAGCTATATTGATAGCTTAACTATATTAAATATAGTTCTCTTTTTACCCTGTACCCAGATTAGTCATTGAGTAGATTAGCTTCCTCGGCACGTACTAGTGTACGTGTAGTTTCGTGGTACCCCAAACAAAGGGGCCCCGTTACACCTGGTAGCACTTTGTAGTCCTTCCAACGACTGCTTATTGCACGTCCAACATGAACATATTGGACGTAGAAGACGACAGATTTCACGTCACACGTAAAGGCTACTTCCATCTGAGTAACTCTAAATGGGAGATAGTCGACCGCATGAGTGTACTCCTGGGCATACCTGTCATCAGTAGCATGTTGGAGTCTCTAAGCAGAGACCAGCAACATGCTGCCATCAACGAGTTCCTACAAGGTGAACTTGCCGTCGAAAGACAGAAGATAGCCTTGATACAACAGCAAGACTCTCATCAGTCGATGGGTGGGCCGACGCACATGCGTTGACCCGAAACCTTGAAGAATGATATCTCAAGGTACAAGGGAACCGATGAAGATTCCCTATTGAGATGGTTCGTCGAGTTAGACGAAGCCATCAGGGCCCGTCACATCGAGAGTGACGAGATGCAAGTCACCCTCTCCATGTCAAATTTGACAGGACAAGCAAAGACGTGGGCCTTACGGCTCAAGCTTCACAACCCAAACGTGTTTGAGTCGTCGGAGATCTTGAAGTCTCGGCTCAAAGAGACGTTTGAGCCGCCGAGAGCCGAGTTCAGCACGCTCTGCACTCTTGAGGCTCAAGCAAGGTAAGCGTGATGTGCACGCTTACGCACATCACCTGCGCTACCTTGCGAGTAGCGTCACGGAAAACCCTGTTGATGAGCACACGCTCATCAACGTGTTCATCTACGGCCTTGTAGATGGTCTGGCGAAGACCTACATGTTCCAGGAGAACTTCCATACGCTGAAAAGGGCGATAGCGTATGCGGAACAAGAAGACTTCAGCCTGATACAGTCTCAGGTAAACTCATCAAACTATCGTCAGACGAGGCGACAGGAAACAGGAGGCCCCAAACCAATGAACCTCTGTTACATTGAGAGCGAGAATCTCTCTCTCTGAGCCACAAGCGAACGGCAAGATGCCATCGCTGTCAGAATATCGGACACTACGCTCATGAGTGCGGTGTCCCGAGCACCGCAACACGTCCAAAGACAGGACGTGATGACCACCGTTGGCCAAGGAAAGGTCCGAGGCGTGGGTCCGACCATGTCGCTTAACCGCGACAGCAAGTCGGACCGCCAGAAAACGGACAGGGTCAGTACGGGCGAAGCACCCTGATGATCCAGCAACGTCAAGAAAATTTGCAGGACTCTCGACGAAGATTGCTCCCAACACACAGTCGCTGTGTGTTACTGCCCCTAGTGATGAGGAGTCCCTCATCACTTTGAAGATCGAAGTGACGAGTGGAATGTCACTTCGCGCCCTAGTTGACTGTGGGGGCGTCGAACAGTTTTTTTCGACGCCAGTGCTAGAGAATAGTAGGCTCAACTGTGTTAAGCGAGAGTTCCCTCCAATAAGGATAACGGTGTGCCTTGCTACAGGCGCGTCCGTTACAGTGAATAAACGTGTAGTGGTAATCCACTGCATGCTAGAAGGAAAGCAGTACGATAATGACTTCATCGTACTGGATTTGGATGACAAATTTGATTTCATCCTCGGTCTGCCATGGCTTTGAAAGCACCAGCCATGGATAGCTGGCAGCATCGATCCGTGAAGATGCCTGCCGTTTGTTCGTCAGATGGCCATCTGATGAATGTCTTGGAGCTTCCACAAGCGTGTGGATGTACTACGAGTGAGTGCGATGGCTTCACTTGTGGTATGGTCGGTAGTACGATTGCACAAGATCACAGTATAGAAGGCCACTACACTGTGGAACCAGCTTCCGGCACCTGTGTAGAGACAATGGCTGCGCCGAAGGTTCACCACTCAAAAAGATCGAGTGGACCGGAATACAGATGCACATCAAGAAGGGCGCATCCAAGAGGAGAAAGTAGTGTTGTTAAAGATGAACAACACGTTGGGGCGAGTTCGACTATCAGGGAGTCGATCGTAAAGCAGACACAATTTACTGAAAGAGAGTCGATCGAAGAGGACGTGACTGTGGTAGTGCACTTACATTCAGAGCACGCAGTGAAAGTAAGTTCCAGCGTTCCTGAGAGTGATCGCTACTGAGGGTGTGGATTCCCAACCACCTGCGGATGTGTTTTCCTAGGAAAGCTGTGAGACGTTGAATGTCTTGGTGAATGACGGATCAAGTGCAGGCGCTTATACACTTTATCCGGTTACACCTCCGAAGTCAGCTTCGGAGGTAATCAAGTTGCTAACGCTAGCACCTAAAAGATTCTTGCGAGATCTGCGTAGTGACAAGATCAAGCAGATCTGCGTACTCGTCACAGAGGACGAGTACGTCGCCGATATTCGGTCGGCATAAGTGTTTACTCAGAACGAACGGGTTCTTATTAGCTCACCCATGGACAAGAGTGGCCTTGATGAGAAGACCCTGATTGAGCGATACACGTCTCAATCTTGGTAGTCTTTGGAGACAAATCCTTTGTATAATAATTTGGTCGAATTCGGGGATGTTTTTCTTGAATCCGTGCCATGCTAGCTGCCTAAGGACAAAGGCACTCGGTATGAGATCGAAGTGAAACCCGGTTCGAATTACTGTGTTATGAAGCAGTGGCTACTGCCTCGTGAACAGGTCACAGCGATCGACAAATTCTTTGCTGATCGTTTAGCGGATGGTCATGTGAGGGATTCAGCATCCCCACACAGCTCTCCGAACTTCTGTTTGCTAAAGACCACAGGAGGGTGGCGGATAGTGCACGCGTTCAACAAATTGAACGCTGCAACGGTACCGGCTCAGACGCCGATACCGAGGAAGGACTTCAGCATTGATGATGTGGCAAAAAGTACCATCAATGATGAACGGGACGTTCCGTACACAGCAGTGAACACCCCCAGTGGTATGCTCTGGGAGTGGCTAGTGATGCCACAGGGGCTAAGTAACTTCCCTGCAACGTTCAACAGATGTGGTACGAATATGTCGCGATCGGTGCGATACTTCGCATCAGTTTACTTGGACAATGTATTCGTCCATAGCTGATCTATGGATGAAAAGACGGACGTGGAGGTTCATAGAATCCACGTTCGGAAGGTTCTTACTCTAATGTGAGAGCATAAGTTGTTCGCGAACCTCAAGAAGTGTATATTCGCAGCGAACGAAATACCACTTATTGTCTGCATCGTGGGTAAAAACGGTGTACGCCCTGATCCGATAAAGATCAAGGCGATTAGCGACTGGCCTGTGCCAGTCGACGTCAGGGGACTTCGACAGTTCCTTGGCTTGGTGGAGTACTAGCACAAGTAGTCGAGCAACTATGCTGAGATGACCGTACATCTCTCTCGTCTGGTAAGGAAAACGAGAGGTGGTCATGGAGCGTTGGGTGTCGGCACTCTTTTGAAGGCATCAAGAAAAGCTTGGTGCAATCGTCTGTGTTGGCGATTGTAGACCCGGACTGACCATTCCATTTGGTCTGTGACGCCGGCCGCCGGCACAAATACACAGTGCAACGCATTTTGTAGCGAATACTGTATTCATATAAATAGCATATAAACAAAACCTCTTTTGTCCATTCGCATGCATGATCACTCTAAAACAAATTCCAAAGCAATACGAGCGCATTTTTTTTTGTAATCTATACGTATCCTGCAAATGACTCTAAATCATTCCCAAAAGAATACACATATAATACCATCAATTGCCAAATTTGAGCAGCATCATTAAATATTAAGATCGCAAAAATAACATTTTTTTGAGCTTTTCTCTAACCCTTCCATGTAATACTGGAAACAAAAACAGTCCTACCACCAAAGGAAACAGATAAGTATTTTGCCTTACAACAGATCAAACTGAACACTCCAATCATTCTTCTCCATTTTAAAAGTTAACCACGTTTCCAAAGCCAATTCAAACAATTCGTTTGCCCCACGTTGACTAATCATTTAGAACATTTTCAGCTTTTTCAATACCAGAAATTAACTACGTTTCTAGTATCGACCCATATAATTAAGTCCACCCCGCCGATCGATCAAAAATCAACAAGAACTTTCAGAAATGTCAATAAACCAACAATAGTTTAAGAAACAAGCCACTATCGATTAAATAACACGCATCCAGTTCCACATTTCATTGTTAGTACAGCGGCGCAGGTCGACATCTCGTGAGCGAAGAAAAGCTCCTTAACGATACGACTGCCTGCAGCCGAGATATCGCTATGGCTGATGAAAAAATCCTGCATCTGGCGCGAGTTGGTAGCGTACGTCTGGAAATGAAAACTCGCGGCGTGGAAAGTGACGCTGAAAAACCTGTATCTGGCGTTAAGACAGGGGAAAAATCGCCTTGTATGGCAAGCTGGAAAGTATTGTATTTGCTCATAGATACGAGTATTCAGTCGCTTCTATCGCAGCCAAACGAGTCGTTCACTGCAAATACCATCTCCCGCTTGATAATTCTACTACGAATCTGCTCCTTTGATCGCTCCTTCATTTTCGTTTCGCGTAGTGCAAGAAACAAATCGCCACCTACGCTTTTGTCCTTGGGACTTCCGCTTTTTTTATCCTTCGACCGACTGTCAGCTTGCGCGTAACCCACTTTGCTGCATTCTTAGCTGGTGCGCGGGTCTCTCCACCTCGAGTGGACACGAGAAGCTATGGCTTTGCGTTATTTACCTGCTGCCGAGCTTGATCGACTGGGCAAAGTGCACCATCTCATCTGCATGTCATAAGTAGTCGACACTCGTCTGGTCGTATTTGGTCCACATGACGCTCGTCAGCTCAGGCGACGCGTGCTGAAAGATTTTATCTGAGACATGTGAGTCGGCACGTCTACGCGCGTCGCTCACCGCAACCATGTAGAGACAGTGCTCTGCCCATGTGCGCTTGTGGCATTTTTCTGCATGAACACACTTATCGCCTGGCTAGCCGTTGCAGTCGTTATAAACGTTGCAAGCAGCTGGCACATAACATAGCATAGTATAGCGTCGGCATCTGGTTAAACCACGTGTCTAGCTGTTTGTAATAGTTTCGCTTAGCCGCTCCGCTGACGTGATGAACAAGGAGTATAACCTCAAATTTTTCACTTTAAGTACAACCGCACGAGGGCAGCCCGGTCTACGGCGTGCAAGTAGGTGCTATCCCAATCGAGGAATCCAGACCTTAATCCCTTATAACGATAACTCCCTTCAAACTTACGTATCTACAGCTTACGCTGGCTCTCATATAATGGTGCATAACGCTGTTGTGGCAGGATTTTGCCCTAATGGTGTTGGTCCTGCTGGTTGTCGCCGATCCTCGGCGGGAGTCTGATTGCGCGCGTATGCCAAAACAAACGACGCAAGCATCGACTCGTCAAGATTGGTTACACGCGCGCGCAGTGGCCACAAAGCCGGCTTGTTCCCAGGAGAGTCCGCGAGAGCGTCGATGGTCATGGGCCTTGCTCGCGCATGCGCACCCAGCGTAGGTGAGATCATCCCGCTCTCGACACCCCCTTACTTATTTCTTGATCTTCAAGCTCGCGCTAGAAAGAATCCGTCTTCTTCATGCAGTTATGAAGAGCGGCGAGGGCCACACGAATTCTGTCGTCTTTTGCCGAGCTCCCTTCGATTGCATAACGATATTTAACGCTTCGGAAGCGCGTGCTGTTGATGCAACGCACGCCGGCAAGGCACGATTTTGCCAGTCCTTTGCGTGATGTAACTGGGCACCCTTATCTTACGATCCACGAAATTTTTAACGTACACCCGTACGTGCAGAGGAAGCTAATCTATTCAAACCAGTGAATGTAGAAAGATAATTGTATTTAAAATAGTTAAGCTATCAATATATCTTCAGACTTTATCGAACTACATTAAACTACATTGTTGAATGACGCCAGCCTGCTCACCACTCATTGCGCGCGTCTAGCACCGGTTGGTGGTAATCTTGGTTGTTACCCCTTTTATCAACCAATCTTTGAGCAGCGCATGAGTATATCAAGAAAGGATTATATTCCCTCAATATTACCTATCTCGGGTAACATTGGCAGGGAATTGGCACAATAGACAATCTTCCTATTGACACCGTTTAGTGTAAATACCATGTCACGGGCTTCTTTTTTACATTACCCCCCCCCTCAACCATCAATCACTCGTTAATTATATTAAATTGATCGAGGATAAGGTCATTACCCTTGGATCACTCTGGGAAGGGAAGCAATCGTTGGTAACATTACAACTCAT